GGGGGGGGGGGGGGGGGGGGGGGGGGGGGGGGAATCCACTAACTAGGAAGATACTGTGTTACAAAAAATTTCAGCCAACCTGTATTACAACCCCGCATCAGTTTTTACACGCTTACTGCTCATAAAATACGCGTGAACAGTCTGGATTTCGCGCGCCCCACTTACTAATGTCGGCAAGGCGAGTAACATTTCTTAATCACCGGATTTTGTTTTGTTGTATAATGATATCCTGTACACTCGCTTATCTGCCAGACCCCTTCTATTCTTATCGGGTTCTGGATGCTAAAAACCCATTATTGAAGTAAAACCTGTGTGTTTTAGATTTTGCTGCGTGGATGGAGCGGGCCAAGGACCCGTGATGGTATCGCATTCAAAAATTTTTCCACTTATCCTCACAAACGTTGGAAACAATAAGCCACCACCAACAGTTATGGTAGTACGATTTCGACAGGTATCCACTTACGCAGTAAGATTTGTGAGAGCTTTAGATATAGCATCTCGAACACTGTGGTAGTCGAAATTCACGCCCATTTCTTCGCTTGATAGAATTGGTCCTTGTCCTGCTTAATTTTTTTTCAAAGCCAAAAGATTTTCCCCAGAGACTCCAATTAGTTTGCTCATCCTTTTGCAGAGACTGGAAAGAAAAAATCGCATGTTTAGTAATGACGCATAACTGGGTTTTTCTAGATTCAGCTGGGATTCGCAAACAGATATTAGTACTAACTCCATTCTAGTTCGGAGAAATCCAGTTATTCCAGTTTTCATGGTCCATTTTATGCGCTTCCTCGCAATTGATGCAATGCGAAAATTGCATACTGTGGAAGGCTGCTGATAACTGTTAAGTGAGTAACCAGGTAAGATAGGAAACTGGGATTTTACGAAGTTTTTTTCTACCCTAACGTGAGCTGATGATCTCAGATTGAGCTATCACGCATGCCTTAGTCATGCAGACGAACACATCGCTTCGAGACACCGTCGCACTTGTACTTCGAGCCCAAACAGAGCGAGAAGCCTCATTTTTATAAAGATTTTTCCTGTTCTTATGCGACTCTGTAAATGTTAAATGAGTTTTTACTCACGTGTGTATCCCAACAAAAGATCTATCAAATGTTCAAACTGCAATGCTGCCACCATTTTACTCTCTCTTGGTAATTCCACAGACAGAGATGCTGGCAAACCTTGTGGGCACTGAAAACATAGTATCAGCTTTCAAAAATGCGGATGTCTCCCATATGGATGCAGTGAAATTGAGGGTACGAAACTGTCAGCAACCTCCTCCCACGGTGGTCTTGTAGAGACTGAAGTTTCCGGAGACGCCACTGTGCAATATTGCTGTCGCAGTTGACGCCATTCTGTCGCCACATGCAATTAAAGACGAATAAGGAAATTGCCAACATGCCAAATTGGTAAAGTAATGGCCATTCATACTGTTAACGGTCTTTTGCTCGAAAATGCACAAAAACGCATGACTGCACCGGCAATCCTGGCACTTGCCACTACTGGTTTGATTTAAACCTCATAATTGCAGCAACGGAAATTCACTACCAAAAGTAAAAATAGGCGCTGAACAAAATTCGCAGCAATAACTGTGGACTCGAATTTTTGGTTCATTCTGCACTTCGATTTTAGAATTGTTCTCGTGCACAAATTCTCTGTAAATTTTAAGTAAAATTTGTCTACAACAACTTCTAAATCACATTTTCCAGATACCCAAGCCCGAAAAAGTTGAATCAGCGAAACTATCACCTTCTCCTTTATTGAAAGAACAATCTGAAGCTGAATCCCAGTCGGACACATCGGGAGAAAAACAAAGGCTCCTGAACACCACCACTTCGAAGCACGAATCGCAGGATACTGCAAAAGATACTGAATCAGTGGAAGACTTTCGAACTACTATCAGAGGTCATTCTTTGTATGGTGGTTATCATGCTGTTGCGGGAGATGGCTTTTCAGACGATGGTTATCAGACAGCTGCTGTCACAAGTGACTTCCTAGACGATGAATATCAAACTGCTATCAGAAATGGCTTTTCACACACTGACTTGAAAACCGTTTCGAGCACATACAGATCGGAAGCAATAAAAACGAAATCTCCATCTTCAAAAGGCAATAAACATATTTCCCAGACAGGCGGATCGAAAGCAAGAATGGAGTCCCGACCCTCAAGAAGCAGTGAGCAGGTTTCCGACGCTGATGAATCGCAGTCAAGAATGATGTCTGGATTTACAAAAAGCAGTGAGCCTAGCCTCCATTCACGACAAAGCAGCAAAAAATTATCGAAAGTAAAACTGCGCCCGCAAGCTGAAACGAGCGATGAATCGCGATCAGAATCCGCACCCGTACTGGAAGGACCTGATTTAACATCAACAGAAATCGAAAAGTCTGCCGAACATCAAAAAGAAGGAAATGTGATTGTAGTAGGCGATAAGTGGAAAATTTTATTCAATAGCGCGAAACATGTTATCTTCCGAAGGAATGATCTAATTAGATCGGTATGCAAATAATTCTATAATTTTTATGCGTTTTTGCCTATATGCAAATGTAAAAACGCATATTGGGACGACCCTGTCTGTGTGTGTATGTATGTGTGTGTATGTGTGTGTGTGTAT